ACAAAGGGCCTTCTCGGCAGCTGCCCCCAGACTATTGAATGCCCTCCTAACGGAGATTCATCTGGCGCCGACATTGATGACATTTCGGCACCAGGTCAAAACCTTCCTGTTCCAGAAGGCTTTTAATTGAAATAACATCAAATGTGGGTCCTGATGGCAATTTTAATTGTATTTTAATTGTATTTTAATCATTTTACCTTTTATTGTATTTTAATTGAATTTAATTGTTGTAAGCCGCCCAGAGACCTTTGGGTAGAGTGGGCGGCATATAAGTTAAATAAATAAATAAATAAGTAAAATAAATGATTGAATTCGGTGTTGGATGTTTGGATAAAAAGGCAGTGTCCAGAACATGGGTTTTATCATGGTTTTCCACACGTTTTGAAATGTGTAATGATGAAGGGGGCTTGCCCATGATTCTTTAATCAAATCTAGCATAGCAGGTATGAAGGTAACCTAAGAGGAGGTGTCTTCTCTTGATTAATATCATCAAAAACTAAGTCTTGTTTAGGTGGTGGTTCCTCGATTTCCAATTGTAGAGACTTAGCCATCCTCATCACTACCTGGGAGTACGAAGTAAAATCTTCCGAAGGTGAGGATGGATGATTTTCTGCTACATCAGATGTTGGAGTGGGTAAATTGGAGGGTGAGTCTGGAGAAATATCAGAGAGCGAATCATGGTTTGATGTGGACGATTCAAAGCATGGAGATTCATGTTGATATTTTGATGTGGAGAATTGTGTCAAAGAAGGCTGTTGTAAAGCAGGGGGTACTTGGGTTGTAGAGTACCTTTCCGTATCAGGAGGAGGAGGACCCTTATAGGTGGTCATAACATGTAGAGATGTGTTTTGAGGGGGAGGATGTTTTGGAAGAATGCTTCGACTGTGGTTGTTCCAATGATGAAGTAGTGCGCTTGAGGGCCAGCTTGGTAGCAAATGGGATTTGGTGAGTTGATGTCGAGTGCGATGAGTGGGAACGGTTTCGGTATCAAGGTGGTGATGGAGACACAGAAGGAGAGTATTGAGGTGCTGTTTGGTGCTGTTCCCCAAGACAGAAAAGGCAACGGTCGTGGTCGTCAGTGAGCGGGATCTTATTATTACAAAGTACACACCACTTCAAAGGCCCGGGGGGGGGCATAAAAGACAAGGGAAAATTGGAGGGAAGATGGGGGAGGGGGGGAATCAGCAAAAACGGGGAAAGAGAAAAAAACTGAATCGAATTGAAGGTAGAACAAATCAATTTAGAGGGGAAACATCCAACAAAAAAGTGATTGAAATAACAAGAAGCAACTATCGATCGCAGTAAACTATTGATCGCTCTAGCTCTCTCTGAAATAGGTCTAACCTAAGCGGCAGCTAAAAGGAACTGAGGGGACTTCTAGTGGGCAGAGCATGCGCTCCACAAGGGAACGTCCCACTAATAACATGTCTTTAAGCTCTGGAAACATCCGAGAGGTCCTGCGCAGGTTCAGAACAACCCAATTGTATGCATTCACAGAGGCCACAAAGAAGAACTTCAGTATAGTTTTATGCAAAATACATGTCTGATTATATGGTTCCTTTTTCAAGTCAAGAAGATCTAGTACTTTTCCAGATGATGGAAAACAGACATCCCTGTGGGAAGCTGAGTTACTTACCTTCAACATAATAACAATCTATAAGGCCCAAATTCCATAGTCCCAAATCCAGGAGCCTCACTGGTTCAGTTGCATCAATTTTTATGTGACTTAAGTGATCATCAATGTGCCACTGACATAGCCATACAGCAGTGAAAGTTTAATTAATTTACTGTCTTATATGATGAAAATCATATCCCTACAAATCTGAAGAAAAGGTGAGAGAATTGAGAGGTTCCCCTTTAATCCTCTGCCATTGCTTAGAATGATACTGCCATCCCACTTCATTTCAATTAAAAACTTTACAATATAGTAAAATCCCCACTACAGACTGCTTTACATACTGGGGAAATTCACCGGTGTCACTGTAGACTTTTAATGTCATTTCAATTCCCATCCACATGGTGGCAGCAAACACTGAATTTACATTCTTACCTGCATAGGATGTTCATTTCCTGTTCTAACTTCTTCAAGCTGCTGTAACTGCCAAGGTGGTAAACCATAGGACTCCTCAGAAGGCCTAGACTCTGGAGGATTTGTATGAAATTGTTCTGTAAGCCACCGCTGAGTCCTCTCAGAGGGTTGAATGGGAACACCACTCACAGCCTGCGGCCCCAAAGTTATATATCCGTGATGAAAACCTTCACAGTTTGATGTAGCAGGCTTGCTTTCCGGTAAGGCACTATAGGTCATGTCTAAGGCATGTCTCCTGTTTGAGGGATCAGTAACTCCCAAGTCTTCTTTGCTGCAGCTTTCAAATTTGTATTTGCAGTCCAAAGTAGAGTTTCTTTTCTTCCCAGGCTCCCTGTCCTCAATTTTGAGCAGCTCCATGCTATTGTGCAAGCAACTTGTCCCATTTGCTCTCAACGGTGGAGACACAGCCTTGCCTCTTGCTGTCTGATCCATGCTGGGCCTGCACTCTGCCGAGCAAACACCTCCATCCTGGCTGCAGCTCACGGGCGTGCTGAGCTTAGACAGAGAGGACCATTTCCTTACAGGTCTCAAGTCCTTCATGTCCAAAGAGCTGTCCAGCATGCCCTGATGCCGGCTTCCAGCAGACCTCAAAAGGCTTGTACTCCATTTTGAACAGCCTGATTTGAGAGGTTCCTTGTGTTTCGAAAGCGAAGAGCTGGCACTGGACGGCATCACATGGGCAGTAGGGATCGAGACCAGAGAGCGGCTGGGCTTAAATGAGGAAGTACCACTCGAGGTGGAATGATCTAGGGAGAAAGAGTTTCACGATGTGAGTGGACAGGGCTAACAGAAGCAGGCCACATTACTGGCTACAAACGTTAAGGTACTGACCCAGCTGAGATAATGAGTGGATTGATATTTTATAAGACATTTACTAGCTTAAATGCACTTTTCTAAAGTCTTACATGCAAGGAACTGCTGTCAGAGTCTGTAACCTTCCTCTTTTTTTAAGTACAGCACCTGGTTTTTCTCTGTGGTTTCATCATGCCCTGAGTAAAGTCAAGAGATGCTACTCTTGAACTAATTTAAATAACATGTATATATGTGTAATTTTACAGGTGCTCCTTTATTTACTAGTGATTTTTTAATTTTATATGCACATACTGTATTGTTCCGTGTATAAGACCCCCATGTATAAGACGCCCCCCCCTCCACTTTTCTAATCCATAATTAAGAAATCTAAGTGGGGCTTAGCAAGGTTGGGGGGGGGGAGGGATCAAAGTGCTGCAGGACAGCTTTGATCCCTGCTTTCCCCTCCACTTGTTATTGTTCTCTCCTCAGCTTACTTCCGTGTCTAAGACGACCCTCAATTTTCAGTCTAAAGATTTTAGACAAAAGTGTAGTCTCATACACGGAAAAATACAGTAAGTGAACACTATGAGGCTACTGAGAATTTATTTCACTGAGAACTAAAATACAATTACAGAATATGAAAGGGAACTCTCTGACTCATGCTGTAAGTCCAGTTTGGGGCAATATCTGTTTACTGCTATAGACCCCTTTCCCACACTCCATTTTATCTAAGAGGGTCTCAGAAGAGTATTTTTCAGGCAGAACCGATAATGATGTAAAAGCTCCACAATATTAATGAAACAGAAGCTAGGATTCAGGCCTTTGAACACATGAAAGTTATGCCATGTGGGCAATGATATATGTAGATATTGCCTTGGCTCTCCATTCTGGCTCCATCCAAAATTTGAAACATCAGTAGGCTGACAGAAAATCCCAATGTGCCAAGGTTCCTAGACAGATGAGCAAGTTAAAATTAACAAAGGTGAGACAGAGGTTACAGGGCTTTGAGTGGCAGCTCTCCTATGCCCAGCAACTGCTGCTTTGCATCAAAGCCTGCGGACAAATAAAAATAAGCAGCTAATCCTGGCATTAGAATTTTAGCCTCTACTATGGCACATGGCTCAACCTTCACTCTAGATATTCACGTTGCTCTTGCACGGGAGACTTAAAAAAAACCTCCCACCATTCTTTCTAATTATTAGGGTCTCCTGGAGTTGCATTTACGGCTCTTTAAAAGGACAAACAATCAAGTTTGCTCTGTCTTTCTTTCATGTCACTAAGGTGTCTTTAGAGCCTTACTACTTGGCAGAAATCACGTAAATCAAACTGAAACCTATATAATTCTATCCAGTTGCTCAATGCTCATGGTGCACAGAGGACTGGGTATGGAGATCCCTGGAAGGATGAGCAAAGAATCCCAGAGATCACTGTATATAACTTGTGGAAGTATACTCTTCCTTGCCATCTCTATAAATTAATGCAACCAAGCACTTTATAAAAAGAGTTATAATGATAGAAATTGCTAGCTTAACTAGCAATTATGTTTAAATACATTTACATATCACAAAACGTTATGATTCTTTCTTGGAATCCTGAAAAAAGAGGAACATTTCCTTTGTGTGCAAGAGAAAAATCAACTTACAATTTAAGAATGAAAAGCTACCATCTGCTGGAAGATGAAAAGACAGTACTTAAGATATATTGTTCAACCGATCTGAGTACAGTATATGGAAACTTCCAAATCAGAGCAACATTCTAGACCACACTGTACAACACTGTATGCAGTGTAAACTAATAGTGTAATCCTCTGCATTTTACACTGCATGAAACATAATATGCAATCTCTGTGTCTTTATACCAAAGTACAATTCTCTGGATGTGAACACTGCACATGTTCCATGGAATTTTGCACATCTACTTCAGAATATATCCCATTGAACTCAATGGGACTTAAATTACAGTAATAATGATTAGCATGTACCGACATTTATTTCAACTGGGAATTCAAACTTTCCGTTTCCTGTAGTATGCCTTGTTGGAGAGGTAACCACAGAAGTTACACTCTGAAAGCCAAACTGTTCTGTCAGCTTTGGATACAAACCACAGGGCAAAAGTCATCGTCCAAGTTTCTTCTTCGGTTATAGCACTGGGAAAGGACAGAATGTGTTTCTCTGTGTCTTGTATGCCACTAGGCTTTTTGAGAGCCCGAAGTCCTTTACTGATTTGTCAGTTTTGCCAAACAAGCAGGATGAATTTTAATCTTTAATTAAGGGTTTAGTTGATTACTCATAGTAATTAATCAATTCAAGTTGGCAAGTTGTGCTTCACATAATATCTGCTGGAACAAATACAAATTTGAACATGCCATGTGCATTGTTTACTTACCAGTTCAGCTACCAATACTGCCTTCTATTCTGCCATAATTAATTAAATTAATGCCTTTGTGCAAATAATGAGTAAATACACACATGACTGATGCTACTCAATTGAGCAATAGACAAAAGTGAGAGAATGAAACCACTTCCATCGAAGGATCGGTCCACCAACATCAGGACTACTAAATAATTGGTTACAGGATTCTATTTCACTTCAGCTGTAAAGAAATATTTTCGTCATGGTCTGGAGGTAGAAGATACAGCCTCTAAATTTAACTATCCTTATATTTTAGTTGTTTTCTACAGAATTTCTGGCATAGTATTCTGATTATTTTAAATCAAACTAGAGAACAACTGTGCTTTTACAGGAATCTATCAAATATTATCACGACATGGCCGCCAGCAAGCGCGACACACACACCCTTGTGAGTGCGACACTCCTGCCCCCCCACACATGGAGCCAGCTCCCCCCAACTTGTCCGCAGTCCCAAAAAGGTTGGGGATCACTACTGTAGATCATCCTGACTGCTGCCTCTGGTGCTATCAACATTCAGGCTGCCCTTTGTTCTATAAGCTTGGCATCCTTTTTCCTGCTGGTAAAATGGGCACAGTACTGTGCCGCAATATCAGGCAATTTCCTGGTGCTCTGAATCATAGATATAGGAGCACAATATCTCACATCCATAAATCAGATGCGAAGAATTTAATTTCCTGGCTTTTTAAAACCGAAGTATATGTACACTACACACACATTCCAATAGAAAATTCCCTCATGTAGATTTACCCAGTGACAGAGGATCCCAGAAGATGGGCACATGTCCTGTACTATGCTTGCTGGGAGAGGACAGAAACAAGCGCTATTTTTGGATTTAATGAAATGGTGAAGCAAACTTAGAAGTAAATGCAGCACATACAGAGGAGCAACGAACACTCTCTTAAACGTCTCAGGTAGGGAAGAGAGAACAACCTAGTCACCACACATCAGAATTTAAATAACATTTTTGAATTTTGTTTTTTCTTAATTACCAGACAATTATTGAGGAACAAGATGAGTGGAATGGTTGAAACTATGACAGGATATAGACATCAAAGCTCTGCTAACTTTGAGTAAGACAACCCACAGCCACGAAACAAAAAACAGCAATTTCAAAGCTTAAACAATTGAGCTTCTGAATATTTGTTTTCTAATCTTTTTTCAATATTTGTACAACCAGACAGAATCCCTTTGCCAGCAAGAATGCCTGTTTAGTGAGAAAGGAGTTAAAAATTTCTCCTCCTGAGAGTCAGCTAACCAACAAGATCAAAATTTCAAATTGCTTCATATCTGGAGCTGACTTCCCCTCTGAAGACTTGTGTCGGGAATCTGGTTGCAGAAATCCTGAAAGAATTTTCTAAAAGCACTCTGGGCTGGAACAAACACAACTGCTCTGTGCTTTTGTAATGCAGAAATACTTTGAATATGCCTTACAAAATTGATGCTAATTCTCTGGAGATACATAACAAAATGTCCCCCTTTCTGGAGGACTGTCATTCATTTACTTCTTTTTTAAAAGTACTCCTGTTTTGTTTTTTCGAAGAAAACCTGTCTTTTGACTATTTCTTTGACCTTCCATTGCCCTCCACACATCTCCCGTCCCAGCCCACAAAGTTCCAACAATGTATCTACTTTCCAACACTCTTGTTTCATTTATGTTCAGTTTATAAGAAAGTCACTGTTTTTCCCTTTTGAAAGGACTTTTTGAGGATCTATATTTCAGCCCTTGCAACCTGAATTCTGTCCAAATTTTAAATGGGACCAACCATTCTCTTTCAAGATAAGCAAGATTGGTCTTCTCAATCTGTATGACAGAGGGGACAGTTTTACTTCTTAAAAATAACTCACAAACCCTTTGTCCAAACGTCCCCATATTTGGCAGAGAGCAAGAGCAGACTTTCTGTTACATCTGTGTCAAATTTGGTGCCAATCTTAAATCTATTTCCAGGTTATATTTTTTCTGTGGGCTGACCCAATTTTTAGAATTGCCTTGTAGAATGCCGATTTATCTGCAGCATAATAACATAGCTACACTATCGTGCTTCTTTAATATAGCACACTGCTTGCAGAAACAAAATGGACTAAATAAATCATATTGTATCATTTACCTCTGAAACATTTGGCAAATCTTGATGATGAGATTGATTTATTTTTATTTAATCTAATATAAACTTATAAAATAATATAGGGATGTGGTGGCGCAGCGGGCTAAACCGCAGAAGCCTGTGCTGCAGGGTCAGAAGACCAGCAGTCGTAAGATCGAATCCACGTGGCGGAGTGAGCTCCCGTCTCTTGTCCCAGCTCCCGCCAACCTAGCGGTTCGAAAGCATGCAAATGCAAGTAGATAAATAGAAACCACCTTGGTGGGAAGGTAACAGCGTTCTGTGTCTAAGTCGCACTGGCCATGTGCCCACGGAAGATTGTCTTTGGACAAAACGCTGGCTCCATGGCTTGGAAACAGGGATGAGCACTGTCCCCTAGAGTCGAACACGACTGGACAAAAATTGTCAAGGGGAACCTTTACCTTTACCTTTAATATAAACTT